CGAACTCGTGGCCTTGGTGTTATCAGCACCGCACTCTCCCGAGTGAGCCATGGGCCGGCCCCCCAGCAGATGTTTATTAAGGGCTTATTATGCCCAAGTACGGTCTGGGAGCTGAAAGTACAGACAAAATTGACATAGTATCTGGTCTTTTGGGTATGTGCAGGGGCATCAGTTGAAGACGTTGCTTCATTTCATAGCCTTCACTTAGCTTTACTGTAGTCATTCTTTGTAGACCTCGGGTAGTGTTAGGGCACAGGGCAGCGAGCTAGCAATAGTTGGAGTCTGTCACAGCTGGGAGAGTAGACTGCCATGGTCTGTGTCTGTCCAGCTTCTTTTTCTCCTTCCAGTTACACTACCTCATCTCCCTTTTTGGGTTGCCTCTCCTTACTGATGGTCTTGTTGGGATGGTCAGTCAGGTGCCCTCTCAGGTGTATGACCCAAGCACGGCCCATCAGTCTCTCATCAGAGAATTTGAATCCTAAGAATAAGTGAAGGGAGGGAAGTGGTTGGAACTGATTCATCTGATAGTGACGCATGCGAGAGACTGCCCATTGCTCTTCACTTTCTGAGTCCTTGGGACTGCGCTAGTTCCTTGTCTTTCTGAGGCTTAGCATTTCACCTTTTTCTTTGATTCTTGTCCTTCCAGTAAATTAATGCTTCTAGTAAACTCCATTTTTGCTTAAATTAGCCAGAATTGGTTTCTCTTTGTTGCAACCAAAGAATGGTTAACTAACGATATACCTGTGCTCAAATCCTTAACTTCCTACTTACTGACTTGTGTGACTCTGAGTGTATTACTTAAGTTCCCGAGCCCTTAAATGTAAATAATAATGTCTAGGATTATCCTGAGAACGAATTGATATACGATGTGGTACGTACCTAGTAGGGTACCAGGCACACATTAGGTGCTTACTTATAGCTGTTAACAACATAGTCCAGTTAGGGGCTGGAAAAACAATGACATTTTCTAGTTTACTCTTTTTCAGGATTTTTCTCTTTCATTGCATCCAATATAATATGGCATATCCTAAAAGAAAACCAGTCCTTTTTTAGAAGCAATTTTAAAATGGCATGATAGATCTGGCTGGAAGAACTAGGATTTATTGAGTAAAGGGTGACTGAGGTTGCTAAACGTGATCCCCTCCCTTTCCTACTCCTGCTTCTGTCACTTCTGAGTCTTGTCCTGAACTGCACTGTAGCCCTCGCATGAGGCAGCAGTGGTCTCTGCTTCCCTTCCATGAAGGAGCAAGAATCTCGAGGTACTGTTGATTTCCATGAAAAGCTCACCCAA